GCGTCTGGCTGGTGACTCCTGACTCTGCCCTTCCTCTTCCTATCAGCCTTAGTTTGGTCACCCCACCTATACTTCCTGCCCAGCTACTGGCCAATCAGCATTTTATTAAACCAGTTTGAGTGACAAATCTTTACAGTGTACAAGAGGATTTTTCCACAGCGGTGGGGCTAACCTCTGAGGATTAAAGACTCCTGGAACTTGGTAGCTGTGTGGCTTTAGGCAATTATTTTACCTCTCTGGGCCTCAGCACCCAGCAACCCTTAAACCATAGGGTTGATATGAGGAAAAACAAGCCATTTTCAGCAGGCAGCTCAATCCTGAATGGGAAGATTCAGTAAACACCAGCAACAAATAGAACCTACTATTCTGACCTATCTCCTCTCACATCTGAGTCTAGATATTATCTGTCGGGTTTCTAAAAGGCCACTCCTTCATGTAATTATTGAAGAAACCTATCCACACACCCCTCTCTGCCTCCTCTTGCGCCCTCCTTCCTTCCTCAGATACTAGATGATGCTACTCCAGACCCCAGAGAAACTGCAGAGAACAGAACAAAGCCCTGTCCTTGAGATGCTCACAGCCTGACGCCCAGACAGACTAGAAACCAACCGACCGACCGTTCCCATACAGCTGTGGGTGCTCAGTGCTGTGAAACGTGGTCAGACCTGGCCTGCAGCAATGCCTCTTACCTGTCCCCTGTCCCTGGGTCTCACCCTTACCCCACCACCCCTCCCACCCCCAAATGGCGGAAGGATCATTCTAGAACACAAAAGTAGCCAATCCCCTCTCCTCGCGATCGTCCCCTCTCTCCTCAATCCTATCCTTGGATTAGATGCCAGGCACTCTGTGTGGAATTTAAGACCCTTCCAGAAGGAGCCCCACTCAGTCCTCAGCTGTGGGCCCTGAGGCCTGGATCCCTGCAGGTTTGGTCAGGGTCTTAAGTGGGTGTCCTCATTGAACAAAGGCACCTGAGGAGTCGGGTGTCTCCTGTCTATGGGTACTAGAGGGCGTCAATCTAACACCTTTTCCTTTCCATGGGGAAAGGGTCTGGGGATGGGACAGAGCCAAAAACAAAAGCATGGTGACAGGCAGTATCTAGGGCAGCCTGACACTAATGAGGATCATCAGGCTGAAAGTCACGTTTTGGCCCTAAAGGACAGAAAATGGGAGCTTCAGGTCACTGATCATCAGGACCCTTCTCCAGACTCCCTTGGAGCAGGAGAGCACATTGGAGAAATGGGGGGGGGGGTGCACCAAGGTCTAGCCTGGGCACAGAGCCTCCAGAACAAGGTTAAGTCTCGGCCCCTGCCAGGCTGGAGCCAACTTTGAAGTCCACTGTGTCCCCACCTGGGGAACCATAAAGTCCTGGGCACGCTCACTATCCTCCTTCTGTTTCCAGACAAACCGCAGCTTTCCTGTCTATTGCCTGGAAAGCGTAGACCCTACAGGCAGTGCCTTCTGGTCTCAGCTTAAATGCCACCTCCTCAGGGCGGCCTCCCTGGTCAGCCTGTGAGCCCCGAACTTGCTCCTAGGGTGTTCTCTATGGTCTCGTCTCTCTATTCCTTCCTCCTTCAAATCTTCTGGTGCCTGGCAGGCTCTGCACTGTCTTCCCTGGCCCAGGGCTCACAATGCCCTGCTTTCTCCTTGGACCCTGGCACCTTGTCCTCCCTCCCTCTACAAGGCACTCTCATTAGTACTGGCTAAAAGCACTAAGAGGCTGAGTGGTGCCCAGCCCAGGCTCCTTCCTGGCGGAGGGTGGATGGCCTCAGTCCTCGCTGCTCCTGGGCTGGGCCCGTTGGCCTTGGGGATTGTACCCTTTCAGCTTTCTCCTGACACAAGCTTCCAGGCTAGGATTTTTACAACCCCTAGTCCCACTGCTCAATTTAAGGCTGTAGTCCAGACTTGCAAATCCTCCTGCAAGAAAGACCCTGCCTCCAGAGGGGGAGGGAAAGAAAAGGGCAGGGGAGGGAGAGGACTTGATAGACCACACTGGGAGTGGGGAATGGAGGTCTGAAACTGGATCTTAATCAAGGCAGCTGGACCTTATGACCAGTCTCCTTGGGCACTGTATTCCACCTCAATAGTAAGAGCCCAATGGGGTCCCCCAGCAGCTACAGCTGGTTGCTTTATAGTGGAGCTCTTCAAATTAGATCGAGAATGTTTAGCCCAGACATAAGCTGTGTCCAGTAGGGAACAGTAAATTCGAGAACTGGCACACTAGAGCTAGAAGAGCTAAAGCTCAGAGTCCTGAGGGCCAGAGCACCAACACTGGACCACTAACCGGCAAGCCCTTCCCCTCCCCGGGTCTCCAAACAGAACCACCACCCATCGCCCGCCCGCAGTGTGCCAGGAGATGTGGGAGGTTTTCTCATGCATCACGATACGCCTTAAGTGTGGATGATCACCTTCACTTGGGAAAGGAAAAACCGAGGATCAGAAATGTGAAGTTCTTCCTGAGAGGAAGGATGGTCCCCGGTCCTGTGGAGGGAACTGTGAGCAGCAGCTCTCTGGGCAGGGGTGAGGGGGAGAAGAGGCAGGGCCAGCCTCTGGCTTTCACAACCATGAATAGTTAAAAGGCAATTACAATGCTAATTTGCATCGCTGAAGGGCGGCAGAAGCTGAGCTGGGACAGCCCGCTCTCTGGAGATCCCTGCCCAGGCCGTGGCTGAGACACAGCACACACACCGGCTTCTCCAGCCCTGGAAGAAGCAACCCCCACTCTTTCATAAGGCTTTTCTCTGACAGGCTCCTGTGAATGCGGCCTGGGGCTCTTTTTATTTTTAAACTACTGTGTCTCAGTCTCCTTGTCTGTAAAATGGGATGATACAGTGTCCATGCCAGGTTTGAAGGACACAGTGCCTGCCTGAGGCTGAGGGAGGAAGATCACAAATCAAGGCCACCCTGGCTACATAAATAAGTCAAAGCCATCTTGGGCTACACCGTGAGAGCTGTCTCAAACAAACAAACAAGTGAAAAACAACACAGGACATGGTGCCCATAAAGGCCTCAACAAGATGTTTGGCATACAGAAAGTGTCAGTCAGAGCCAGCACAGGGATGGTGCAGACGCTGGACAGGGTGCCTGGCATGTCCCGCTACAGTGTACATGGTCCCAGCCTGTGGTTGGGGAAGAGACAGTTAAGCAGTTAGGGAACAGATAAGAGAGGCCGACAGGTTAGAATGGAGACAATAGGGTGGTGTGTGCGCTGGCTGACTGAGGGGGGACTTCAGGGCAGAAGACTCATCTGTCAGGCCCAGAAGTGAGTCTATACTAGGTGTGGTGGCTCACGCCTTTAATCCCAGCACTTGGGAGGGAGAGGCAGGCAGATTTCTGTGAGTTCAAGACCAATCTTGTCTACAGAGTGAGAGTGAGTTCCAGGATAGCCAGAGCTCCACAGAGAAACCCTGTCTCAAAAACAAAACAAAAAAAAAAAAAAAAAAAAAAAAAAAAAAAAAAAAAAAAACCAGACAGAGGCTACAGTGAAGGTGAGGGGCACTGCCTCTCACCACCCACGTCCCATAGTCTCCAAGCATACTCACAGGCGGAGGCCACTCACCATGCACACACTGGCAGACAATGGCAAGCGTCTTAGAATTCAGGCTGGGTTGAGCCATCAGAGCGGTTGATGTGATCCTTGTTCTAGGCATCAGCTCATAACAAGGGAACTGGCCATGAGTACGTCCTCTGTGACAGACACTGTAGCAATGATCAAGAGTCCTTGAGTAAGAGACAGGGCCAGAGATTAGCATCAGGCGAGGTTATCTTATATTTGTATATTTCCTATAATTCAATCATTATTAATATAACATATAATGTCATTAATATATAAGTATTAAGAAGTGTGTTTCTATAATTTTATGGGTTATGTAAATATATGTTAATGTATAATTTATATTTATATTAGCATCAGAAAGGGCCTGAGGGAAAAGACAGCCTAGCTCATCTCCTCCTGAATCAAGTCTCAGGGTCTCAGGTGTCTCCAGGAAAGAAGATTTACAGCCAGGTGCCTGCAAGTGATCAAGAATTATTATTATTTTGTTGTTGTTTTTTGAGACAGGATTACTCTGTATAGCCCTACCATGCACCTTTAATCCCAGCACTTGGGAGGCCGAGGCAGGCAGATCTCTGTGAGTTTGAGGCCAGCCTGGTCTACAGAGTGAGTTCCAGGACAGCCAGGGCTACACGGAGAAACTCTGTCCCCAAAACAAAAAACAAACAACAACAACAAAAAAGAATGATTACTATTTTATAAAAGATAGGGTCTCATGTAGCCCATGCTGGTCTCAAACTAGCTATGTAGGCTATATTGGACTTGAATTCTTAACTGCCTTCACCTCCTAAGTGCTGCAATCACAGATGCGTGTGTATGTGTGTATGTATGTGTGTGTGTGTATGTATGTATGTGTGTATGTGTGTGTATGTGTATGTATGTGTGTATGTGTGTGTGTATGTGTGTATGTATGTATGTGTGTGTATTTTGTGTGTGTATGTATGTGTGTGTATGTGTGTGTGTGTGTTTTGTGTGTGTGTGTGTGTGTGTGTGTGTGTGTGTGTGATTACACTCAGTCTGTTCAGTGCTGGGGATCAAACCCAGTGTCTTGGGCATGCCAGGTAAGCACGCTACCAGCTAAGTTATAGCAATAGCCCAAAACTAGTTCTTAAGGAGTGGGGAAATATGTTCTGTTCTCGGGGCTGGCCGAGGCTCCCCAGCTTGTGCCTGCCACCCTGATCTCTGGTTGTCCCACCTCCCTGAAAACATTCCTCATGCCCATCACTCCACCAGCAGACAGAAGGGCCATTCCCACCCCAGCCTGGCAAGTGGGAAGCATAAGAGTGGGGACCTCATGGAGGGTTATCAATGTGTTGGGGGTGGGGATGCTGTTTCCTGCAAAATGGCTGTACTGGGGCTGGGAGGCTGGACTACCCCAGGCCCATCTCCAGCTCATTCATTGATGGAGACTTGGAGAAAATACTGATTTTTTTTTTCTTTTTTTTTTTAGCAGTGGAGACAGAGAGCAATCTGGGTTGCTATGCAACCAGCGCCTGTGCCCAGCAGATAACACCAGAGGAATTAACTGTCCTTGTCCTGCTCAGGCTCCAGAGGAGGGGCTGATGCCAGTGGTTGGACCACAGCTTCCCCCACCTGCCAACCCATGGCTCCACCGTGTGTGGGGGGGGACCTGAAGCCAGGTCCCAATCCCTTGCTTTACAAAGAGCATCCAAGGGGGACCCCTTGCCTCCTGTTAGGGGGTACCTGACTGCAGGGTGAAGAAGGGCCCTCTGAGATCTTAGATGCTGCATAACCCTGTCTGCTTTGATCTGCAAATGAGCTGTGAATTCAAGACAAACCTGGACTGGAAGGGAAGCTGTGAGAAGGCCCTGACTGGTGACAGGCTGTTGAGGGGCTGTCTAGGGCCAAGAACAAGATGGACAGAATGAGGCCATCTCCTGGGGCTGCAGACAGGTCTGTGTGTTCACTGGCCCTGCTCCTGCAACAAGACTCCAGGCCCAAGGAGGAACAGGGCTGGGAGGAGGGGCAGGTCATTCTGGAGTAGACAGGTCTCCTGAAGCTGTCAGGGCCTTGGCATTCTGGGAAAACCAGGGACTGTCAGATCCAGGGCTTGGAGAACTGAGCGCAGCCTGTCTGAGGGACTTGGGATGAATGGGTGAGACCTAGGGAGATGCGGCAATACATGCATGGGCTTCAGACTGAGCCTAGCAGTGGAGGTCCCTGCAGAGAGCCCTGTGCTGTTTGTGAATATGGGCCACCAGGAGCCGGGGCAGCAGGAGCAGGGCTCATCTTCCCAGGAGCAAAGCCATTGCACCTAATCCCCCCCCCTTTCTCTCTTTTCTCTTCTTTTTTTTTTTCTTCCTTTTTGTCTCCTGTGAGTTGTAACCCTATCATGGGCAACGAAAGACTTAAGAGTCTCTCTTCCAATTTTCGGCCCCCAAAATGGTAAATACATTTATTTTTCCACTTTCATATAAATAATATTGTTTTCTCTTAACATGGGTAAGTGTTCAGACCCAAACCTGGGTTCAAACACACTCAGAGCTGTGTGATCTTGGGCCAGTCGCTTTACTTCTCTGAACATCAGTCATTTGTCTAGTCCATGAACTTGCCATAAGGATGGAAGGGACTGTGTGCTAGGTTGAGCTCACGACAAACTGCCTTCACTGTGGATGAAAGCAGGTCGAATATTGGTTCTTTCTTTTGGTTCAGACTTGAGGGATATTCAGTGCACTTGGTAGGTGGAAGCCATGACTGCTGTCCTCTGCTGTCCTGGGCCTTTAGGTGCCAATGAACTGCAGGGTCTAAGCTGCAGGCTGCTGCTCCCAGTATGCCCACAGTATGCATCCCAGAGGATGCAGAGTGGAGATGAGGGAATCTCTGGCCCAGGGGAGTTCCACGGCATCAGAGGCCAAGCTCAGGGGCTGGCCTTCCCGCTAGGCCAGCAGCAGCCCCCATCCCCACCTGCCCTCTGTGTTCCTTCCTCTCCTTGCCCCACTTACTGAGCAAAAGTCTTGTTTCCATGTTGCCATGGTTACCATTTACTTGCGCACTCTCACACCAGGCTCCAAACGAACAGGCTTGGCGGGGGCATTATTAGCTCATTTATTCCTAACGGCAGCCGAACTTGAACCTCATTTTTAACCCTTTGAGGTCATCTGAAAACTTTATCTTGTGCAGACACCATTCCCGAACAGGAAAATGCACTTATTCTCACAGCACAGTTCCAGGAGTTTGGACAAACATAGCAATAATCCATGTGATCATCTCTGGTCTAAGACACCTTCTTTATCCCAGAGAGCTTCCTGGTACTCAGTCTGTCAGTCCTCCCAGCTCCTCCACAGACCTTTCCTCCCACAGGCTCTGTCTGTCTGTCTGTCTGTCTGTCTTCCTTCCTCCTTCCCTTTATTCCTTCTCCCCTCACTTCTTTCCTTCCTTCCTTCCTTTCTCCCTCTCTCCCTCCCTCCCTCCCTCCTTCTTCCTTCCCTCCCTCCCTCTTTCCTTTTCTCCTTTCTTTCCTTTCTTTCTTTGCAGAGCTACAGGTGGGACCCAGGGCCTTGGACACATTAGGCAAGTTCTTGAATCACTGGCCCTGGAGATGTGCTTTCTATCTTGCACGTTAGTTTTTACTCTAAAAGTTATTTTATTTATTATTATTATGATGATGATGATGATGATGATGATGTGTGTTTGATGTAGAAGTGTGGGTGTGTGTGCCAGAGGACACAAAGTGTGTGCCACTTCACAAAGTCAGAGGACAGCTTTGTGAAGTCAGTTCTCTCCAGGAATTCAACTCAGGTCATCAGGCTTGTGCAGCAAGTGCCTTTTAGGCTAAGACCTCTCACAGGCCCCTCATTTGAACTTTTCTACATCCTAAGAGCGAAATCAGTGTCTGTTTCCTATCTGCCTTCTCTTGCCTTGGGCGTGTTCCTTTTCAGAAGGATTATTTTTACATGATTATTGTACTTTAATTACACCTGCCCCTCCCCTTTAATTACTGAGGAGTTGCTGTGGACTGATTTGTGAGTAGGCAGGGAAGCCTCTGGAGGAACTATGCAGGCCAGCACCTTGTCTTGGCCCTCTCTCCCCGAGAACTATGAATGCCCTTTCTGTGGAGTCCATGGCCATGGTGGTGTTAGGTCAGGCCCACCTGATGAGCAGTTTATCTCTCCTCAGAGGCTTTACACACCAGGACCTGAGACCAGCAACACCCAGCGATGTGCACAAGGTGCTGAATCTCCACCGAGAACTATGAGAATTTCCCAGTCCTAGAACCCCAGGGCTCTCCAATCTCAGGCAAGCTTGGGATGGAAGGGCCTCTACTGCCTTGCACAGGGGTGAAAAACCAGGAATTGAATTGAATCTTTAATCTGGAGATCTGGCAACCTGAGAGGAGGGTGAGTCAACACCCCCACAGACCTGCCTTCCAGGTCTTTAGCTGGCAGGTTGTGAAGGGAGGGGAAACAGTGGATCATTTTAAAGTTTAGTCTTGCCCCTCTGGTCAGGTTCTTGACTCAGATTTACGGGGGTTATAAATGCCATGCCTACTGAGTCATGCCTTATATTTCCTCCTGAGCCAGGCAGGATTGTTTGGATGCCATCTAGGCTGACCCCAAAACAAGCACACCTCAAGTATGTGCATAAGAAGATTCCTTCCTCCAGAATGAAGTGCAAGTGTGCCCTTGGGAGAGAGAATATCCAGCATGTCTGACATTGAGCCCTTACCAGACCCAGATCTCAGCAAAAGAGGTCAGTGACCTGGAAGTAGTCATAACTGGAACCCACCTGGCAACAGGAAGCAGGGTTTATTAAGCATATGAATCCTGAAGAAGTTAGGGGGCCATTTGGCCTCAGCTGTGAGGTCTCTTATCTTTGCCCAGCAGGATTTCCTTGGAGCTGTAGACACAGAGGACAAGTGAGGACAAGCTAGTTAATTAAGGCCACATTCTATAACTGGGGCTTTGGGTCAGTGCCCTCTGGTGCCCCAGACTCGCCTCCACTCTGGTCTCAGTCTCCTTCAGCCATGGGGAATTCTCAAGTCCTGCGGACATCACTACTTCAAGGGGTGGGAAACAGAAGGCCTGGCTGCCTGGCCCTTAAAGTTTAGGTTCGGACATCAGCTAACTCTGTAAGGAAGTAAGCACTAGCCTTATGCTAAATTATCACTGCTCTGAGGTCCAGCCTCCAGCAGCACAGGGTCGGGGGACCTTCCACCAGCAGTAAGTCTTTCTGAAGTATGGTTAGAGTCTAACAGAAGGGAAGAGTGATAAAAACTGGCAATTAATTTGTAAGAGAGTAAAACCAGTCTTGACTGGACTTCTGAGGGGACATCCACAGTAGGCCCGGATGAGTGAAGGAGCCCCAATCCTAAAATCCTTCTTGAGATTGGTCAGGGCTATGCTTTCTCAGCAAGGTGATCCTGGGCTACAGTGGGGTCTTCCATACTGGTGGATCCCAGTAGGAGTTCTGGAAACTAACATCTAACTAGAGGTTCACTGAAGAAAGCGTGGAAGGGACAGGTAGGAGTGACTGACAGGGCCACATCTGATGTTTCCAGTGACCGTAGTCTAGTAGCTGGACTTCACTTCATTACAAACGTTGCCAGCATGGGGACATGGGCTTGTTGGCTTTTTGAAAAGGCTTTCTATGTGCCTGACCCATAAGGAGGTAGCTAGTGATTGGCCTCCTGAACCAGCTGGTCCTGGGGGACTTTGATGGAGAGGGCTGCTTGTTGATTGTGGTGTCTGTCTCTTCCCAGCTCACATGGTTGTTCTGTGAAAAGTTCTTCCCTGCATAGGGACTTTGAGCTCATGACATCACCCACCTGGCTTCTGTCCACATCCACTTTTTAAAAGCTGGACATGTGGAGCTAGAAAGTTGGCTCAGCAGTTAAGAGCACTGGTTGCTCTTGCAGAAGACCAGGATTCAATTCTCAGCACCTACAGGGCAGCTCATAATTGTCTGTGACTCTAGTTTCAGGAGATCCATTGCCCTCTTCTGGCCTCTATGAACACCAGACACACACATGATATACAGATGTACATGCAGGTAAAGCACCCATGCACATAAAAATAAATAATTTTTTTTTGAGACAGGCTCTCATGATGTAGCCCTGGCTATCCTGGAACTCACTATGTAGACCAGGCTGGCTTCAAACTCACAGAGATCCACCTGCCTCTGCCTCTAAAGATGTGCACCACCACACCAGGCTTAAATAAATAATTTTTAGAAACTGGTCACATAATGCATATTTATGAAATATTAAGATCAGATGAACAACATATTGCAGTGTGGGGGGTGAGTGGGAAAATTAGAAATGAAAAACCAGTGTCTCACAGAACTCTCTAGTGAGGACATTATAGGAAGAATGAGTCATTTGCCATTTCTCCACCTTCTTACTTTGAACTCTTTTAGGGTGCAAACAAGGTCCAAATTAGGTGGTCATAAGGCATGGGGTTCTGTGTAAGGTAGAAGATCCAGAGGTGTGTGTGTGTGTGTGTGTGTGTGTGTGTGTGTGTGTGTGTGTACATGGCTGGCATCTATTTTTCCATAAAAACGAAAAATCTCAACAAAAGTGGAAAGTGGGGTCCCCTTCACCTCCCCACCCCCACCCTAGCATCCTTGTTCAGTTTGCTCCCACCCACCCACTCTGTGACTCACCCCCACCTCCCCTCAGATCCATCAGGGCCGATTGTTCTCTGGTCTCCTCAGTCCAAAGCTCTTGATGGATTTGGTAATTGGGGTAATTACGGTAATTTTACCTTAAAGACAGACAGCTGTGGGTTCCCTATTGGGGTGCTCCTCCCTGGGCCTCCTGCCAGTGTTCAGGGACAATGGCAGGAGGCTCCCATTCCCCCTCCCCCCAGAATACAAAGTGGCTGGGTAGGGGTGAAAGTAATGCATAGACAGCCCCTCTAGCAGCTCAGGGTGGGGGCTGGGACAGCACAGTGTCATTTTCCTCTCTACCACTCAGCACTGGTTCTAGGGATCTGTCCAGCCCAACACATACCCACCCACCACCCAGCCCAGCCCCGCCACCTTTTCCCTTTCAGGCCTGAAAACCCAAACAGATTAACCCTACTGTCCCCCGTGTGTGGATAAAGTTCCTTAACGACGCCTAAAAGCTCCTCAGCACTCATCCTTGTAATCTCTAAGGATGAGGGAAAAGAAAAAATGATGAACCGGGACCCTGAGTGTCATTTGCCCAAAGCCAGAGAGACCTGCAAGCACCTGCCAGGCTTGGAGGAGCCAGAGTCCACGCTGCTCTGCCCCCAGCGGCATCTTGAGGAACTGCATCTTAATCCACACCAGAGCCAGCCCGCGCTGGAGAAGATCGCTGAGCTCTGTCTTTGAATTTTCAGGTTAGAAGGCGTCTCCTAGAGCAGAGGTGTCAACCAAGGCCACCACAAATGTGTGAGATCCCCCGCTGGAGTGTTTGTCAGTGAGAGCCCCACGCAGGTCCTCGGAGCAGACCACCAGGGCAGGCTCTTGCAGGGACATTGGGGGTTGTGTTTAGGGGGAGCTGAGGCAGCCCTGGGGTAGGCTCAGAATTTCAAGTTGGTTGTTTCCTGCTTCCAAACCCTTCTGGAATGCATCTCCTGTGCCTTCACAGACAGTTCACTGCTCTGTCGCCGCTCAGGGTACCTGACCGAGCCTGCAGGGTCAGGAAAAACGACCTCACGATGCTTGAGCTCCAAGCACGCTGTTTTCACCTGCTTTGGGGGCCCTTCCACCTGTCTCCAGCTTACCCTCAAATCTCACCCTAAACTCCACTGTGCTTAAGTGGCACATCCCTGGAAACTCACCTCTCCCCAAGGGAAACACCAGACTTGTTCCAGCTCCCCGACCACCTTCACTGAAGGACCCTCCCTCCATCTCCATCTCCATCATTTGTAATTACACAGCAATTTGTGCGATGCCTCGTGTTTAACGTTTCTTCCTCCACTGAACTGCAGACTCGAGGAAATTCGGCCTCGATTTGGTGTCCTGCAGCAGAGAGAGAGAATTCTGTTGCTGCATATTGGAAGTCACATCACCGATCGGCCAGAGACGGTCTCCTTCAGCGCTGGGAAAGCGAGGTGGTGGCTTCAGAATTGTCGGTTTGCCCTGCAGCCTCCTCACCATAGTCCTCTACCGGGCAGCACCTCTGGGTCTCTCCCTCCTTGCACGATGTAGGGCCCACACTTCCTGGACTGAGCCCCCCCCCCAAGCCCCACCTCCTATACTGGATAGCCAATCCCTGACTCGACTGAAGATTGGAGGTGGGGAAAAGGAGAAAGACCGACTGGATAGGAAAGCTGTGGGTGTGGACTGAGTTGTCCCTCTGCCCCCGCAGCCGGAAGACCTATCGGGCTCATACACCCTGGGTGAACTTCAAGGCGACCCTAGCTAGAATTGTCCAACTCTTTCTATTTGCAGGCCTTTGGGGTCAGTTGTCCCCAAAGCTGGCCGCCTCTTTGGTAAATGTCTCATTGGCCCATTCCATCACATCCTTTGGGCACCCATGACGCCTGTAAATTTCATTAGGGTTCTCTGTCCAAGGTCTTGTCTGTGACGGAGGTGGTCAGCCTGCCTGCATGTGGGTAGGGCTGGGGTCGCAGAGAACGACACCCACCCCACTCCAGCTCTTAACCGGAAACAGGACTCCGCAGCATACACTCTCTCTACCGCTAGGTGGATGGACACACGACTGAGGCTGAGAACTCCCAGGAGCACTGAACCACTGAGCTGCCCACAGGCCAGCTTTGGAGGGTCCAGCTCTGGGCGCCTCTAAAATACTTTCCTGGCCTCCTCTCTCTTCTCTATCCATTTGATTTTCTCACACTGTTGTGGTGAAATATTGTGTATCAAATAAAGCTTGTCTGAGGATCAGAGGACAGAGTCAGCCACTAGATTAAACATAGAGGCCAGGCAGTGGTGGCACACACCTTTAATCTCAGTACTTGGGAATCATATGCCTTTAATCCCAGCACTCGAGATCTCATGCCTTTGCTACCAGTATTTGGGAAGCACACAGGCCATTAATCCCAGCACTGGGAAGGAAGTGAAATGGCTGGGCGGAGAAAGGCATATAAGGCATGAGGAGACAGGAATAAGAGACCCTTTTCTGCTGAGGACTCAAAGACTTTTGGTCCGAGGATTCATGAAGAAAGGATTTCACCTTCCATTCGGCCTGAGGATTCGGTAGTGGTGAGAAGTTTCTCTAGTGGCTTGTTCCTTTGTCTCTCTGATCTTTCAGCATTGACCCCAATATCTGGCTCCGGGTTTTTTTTGTTTTTTTTTTTTTTTTTTTTTTTTTTTTTTTTTTATTGTAAGACTATTTAGAATTCGAGTAACACACTGTGATGTCTTTTATTTCTGGGTTGATGTCTTTCTTGCCAGTCTATGAGCTCCACGCAGGCTGGGTCCTTTCCTTTGTAATACTCTGAACTTAGTCCAGCCCAGTACTGAGCACACAGAAGGCATTCAGTGCAGCCGCTAGGAGACTGTAGACCCCTCATATATCCTCACGGTTCTCTATGCAACTTGAAAACGGTCTTCTGACCCTCTAAGAGTAGTTGGGCAGATTACATGCAGCCTGCACAGGTGGAATGGAGTCCAAGGCTTGAGTGTCCAACCTGGTGTAGCCCTGCTAAAGGTTGTCTCTCCCAGGGAAGCATGCGCCTGCGCACTGGGTTACTCCCATCTTCCGCTTGCATCACTTCCACCCTTTGCCCTTTCCTTTTGAGGATATCTGGCTAAATCCCATCATTCTTCCTTTCGAAAGCGTGCGGGGTGGGGGTGCCCTGCTATGGGAACCTTAGAAAATTGACGCCGGTCCCTTGCCGAGAGCACATCATCTCGTACTTTGATCTTGGATTTCTAGACTTTAGACCTGAGGCAATGTGCTTCCTAGTGGGGGTGTCTTCTTGCCTCGAGGCTCTCTGCCTCTTCCCCATGTCTTCTCCTGGCCCTTCCTGTGTGCTCTGGGTGGGGAGAGGACTCCTGTGGGACCTCTTTCACCAGGGCACCAGTCCTACCAGATGCTATAGCACCCCGCACGATGGCCTCTTGGAACTTTAACCCCCCTTAAAGGCTTCATCCAAATACATTCATTTGTGGCTTCAACATATGGATTTGGAGAAGATGCAGTTTGGTTCCTAACAACACCCGGTAAGAGACTCAGGACTCAAGCCCAGACTGCAAAGAGCCTGGAGAAGCTGGGCCCCCACCGTGAATTGTGCTAAGCTCACAGAGGGGCGGCTGTGGGATCATCAATCACGAAGACGCCACCGGATGGAAAGCGATGAGTCCTCCGATAGCTCTGAAGATGAATGGGGCAACTGACATGTGATTAAACTGGGATCCTTCCCCACAGCCACGGCTTGCTGCCTGCAGTGGTAGCACACAGCCAAGCCGAGGCTCCCTCAGAACTTCCAGGGCGTGTGCCTGCCTCCTGCCTAGGTTAGCAAGCTAACTACAGTTTGTGGTCATCCTGGCTGGGTGAGTTAGTGAAAAGGGTGTGCAGTGAGGCCAGCACAGGTGCTGTCCCCTTGTGGGGACAGTGTTAGTCACCACCGCAGGCTGCCCGGCTCTCCTTAATAATAATAGTATTGAAAAGGTGCTGTGGACACTTCCCGTGAGTTTTTTCATTGGTGTCTACGAAACAGGCAGGTCAGAGTAAGGACAGATGGAGAGAGCAGTGGATTGTGGAGTAAACAGGCGAAGGTCCAGAGGACAAAGAATGAACACATTCATTCATCCAGTGGACCAGTTGTTATTACGCATTTACAGTGCTGTCAAATCCTCAAAGGTGAGAAAACCCCCACGTGATGCCTGCCTCTGAGGAGCTGTCCCCAACCGGGGAGACGGAAGTGAAAACTCATTCAACTGGATTGTTTCAGGCAGTGTTAAATGCTAAGAAGAAAATTAATGATGGGAATGCACATGTATGGGGGAGGGAGCGAAGGAGGGGGATGGAGGAAGGGAGAGAGAGAGAGAGAGAGAGAGAGAGAGAGAGAGAGAGAGAGAGAGAGAGAGAGAGAACACAAGGGAGCAACTTCAGGTGGAGTGGCCTCTTGGAGAAAGGGACACTTGACCTGAGACCTGGAGGTGGAAAGGGCTGGCTGTGGGAGAGCGTTCTAAGTGGAGATAACTGCAAGGACGAGAGCTCTGAAACGGTGGACTTGGGCTTTCTGGGGACCTGGAGGGAGGTGCATGTGTCTGGCTGGGCAAACACAGGTGACTGTGGAGAGGTAGAGTCAGGTCACTAGACAGCCTAGAAGGCCAGAGAATCATCAGAATACTGCTTCCAGTGCTGTGAGATTCTTCTAGGTTGTCAGTGGGAAAGCTTTCAACAGGATTGAGGCTATCATCATCATTGTTATCATCGTCATCAATTACCACCACCCACCACCACCACCACTACCCACCACCGCCACCACCACCACCACCATAACCCACTACCACCACCACTACCCACCACCACCACCTACCACCCACCACCCACCACCACCACCACCCACCACCCACCACCACCACCACCCACCACCACCACCACCACCACCACCACCACCCACCACCCACCACCACCACCACCACCGCCGCCGCCGCCGCCACCACCACCACCCACCACATACACCACCACTACCACCTTTATCCTCACTAATCACCACCATCGCTTGCTGGTGGCCATGTCAGAGGAGCAGCAATTGACTTCAGGGACCGAACCACCAGGAAACAAAATCCTGATGGGTGAATCCAAGAGCCTCAGACCCGGGATGTTTCTTGCCTCTGCTGTGTCTGTGCGTGTTTACCGCTGCCATTTTTCTCTGGTATCTCATGGTGTGGATGGGCATGAGGAGATCCCCTCTGCCCTTAATGCAGTATGGTCATCTCTTGGAAATATCCCATTCTACTAGGCATTCTTACCTGTGGATATTATGAAGATGATTTCCTCCTAAGCTGTACTGTTTAACTGAAGCAATGATTTTATACAATAACGGTGTCAGTTTAAATAGGATTCTGATGATTGAGGGTTTTTTTTTTTTTTTTTAAAGATTTATTTATTATGTATACAGTGTTCTGTCTGCACATATCTCTGCAGGCCAGAAGAGGGCACCAGATCTCATTACAGATGGTTGTGAGCCACCATGTGGTTACTGGGAATTGAACTCAGGACCTCTGGAAGAGAAAGCAGTGCTCTTAACCTCTGAGCCATCTCTCCAGCCCTGATTGAGGGTTTTTAATAAATATAGTAAGGATTTATGATACAGATTAGTTTAGTGGGGAAATTAGCATAGGTAAAGGTAGGAAAAAAACATTGCCCCTGCCTCTGATGAAGCAGAGGTTGCAGATTAAAAAAAAAAAAAAACAAAAACAAGGAACTGTCACAGAGCTAGAACACATGAGTTTCTGTTGGGGAGCCCATTTCTAGAATCATGAATAAAGCCAATACGATATTGTAATCTGGGACTGAAGAGATGGCCCAGTGGTCAAGAGCACTGGCTGCTATTTCAGAGGACCTGGTTTGATTCCCAGCACTCATGTGGCAGCTCACAACCGTCTGTAATTCTAGTTCCAGGGGACTGGATGCCTTCTTCTGGTCTCTGGGGGCACCAGGCATGCAAATGGTGTATGGACATACATGCAGGCAAAACATCCAAACCCATAAAAAATTATTTAAATCTCCTGTCTTTATACAGCCACGGCATCCAATATGGCACCACCATCGTTGCCACCATCTTCACCAACATCACCACCACTGTGACCACCATCATTGTGACTCACATTGCTACCATCACCATCATCACCACTGTGACCACCATCATTGTGACTCACATTGCTACCATCACCATCATCACCACTGTGACCACCATCATTGTGACTCACATTGCTACCATCACCATCATCACCACCATCATCACTATCATTACCATCATCCTCACCATCATCCTGTCGTGACCACCATTATCACTATTACCAGCTGTTCTTCACCACCATCACTGTATCATCAACCATCACCATCATCCTGTCACTACTATCATTATCATCATAACCACTATTACCACCATCACCAGCATGCCACAGAGTAAAGCAGATGTTAGCCGTGCCAAGCCGTTCCTATCCCTCCAGTATTACAGAGTCAGTGAGCTGTAACCATTTTGAACTGCATCTGTATCTTTAGCCAGGAGCTCTTTGGCAGTCAGAGCTCACTCTGCAAGGCCCTCAGGCAGCCTGGAGGTGCAAGGGAGCAATGCCCATCACAGTCAGGAGCAGCCTGGACTTGAATCTTTTCCCCCCTCTGCTCCCCACGCACCCACCACCCTTGTTCCCCACCCCTGGGATGGGGTGACTCAAAAGGACAGCTTCTACATTGTTTCTCAGGGTCTCTCAACAGAATCAAGCTCTCCCTGCCCATTGTGGCAACTTGTTTGATAATGCACCCTCTGATGGTGGTCTTCCCTTCCTTCTCATACGCTCATTCCCCAGGCTTCCAGGAGCACTACTTGCTCTTGAATCTGTCTCAGAGTCTACTGAGAAGAGCTGCAGTGGAAACACCGGACTATCATGAAGATGGAGTTTGTAAAACTCTTGGTATAAACTAGAGGCTCAACACATTCAATGTTGAGTGAACAAACTATTTGAATGAACAAATGAATGAATGAATGACGAATGAATGCGGTTTCACTTCCCCTGAGGAGAAGGCAGACTTGGGCAGGAGAGAGACATAACTGGGATCACAAGTGATGGGTGTTGGGAGTGCCAGAGACTCATCCTCGCCCTCCTTCCTTCAGCAGCCCCCAGTGCTCTAATGGCACCATCACCTGGCCCTGCTGGATGGGGCACGTTCAAGGCGGAGCCAGCGCCCATGGAAGAAACAGCAAGGTGTTTCATCTAGCTCCAGTCAGCTGCCAGAGAGACAACGCCCACCATGAGCCAGGCTGGGGAGAACAAAGTGAAAGTGATGTTGAGCTAGATGTGTGTTTAATGTTGAAGCAACTTAAATATGCTATAAAACAAGGTTCCGTAAGGCAGCGTTTAAGACACAGGAGCGCGAAGGGAAGTTTGTCATCTGTCCAGTTCTCCTAGGACTGTCCATGGCATCTTGGGGGTCTCAGAGAAGACAAGCAGTTGTCCATGGTCACAGTGACTTCCCACTCCACACTGTGGGGCTGCCTCCAAAGCAATATTTTCTGGAAATTCCCATCTGTTCTCGAGAGAGGTGCTACAGTTTCATTCCCCCTGTGCCTGGAAATTGTGGACAAACTC